CGTTGTAGCGGGTTTGCGTTCAGAAGTCTTTCTTGGGCGTAGAGACTCTTCTCAGAGGCTGACTCCCTCCCCTGTCCCTCCCTCTCTTTCCACTGTTTTATCAGTGTGACGGGTGCCTGTTTTTCTCCCTTCCGCGTGGGGGCTCATGGCTGGGTTGCCAGGTTTTGCCAGCCATAGCTAGCCATGGGAGCGGTCTCCATCTCCCAGCTGGCTGCCAAGAGTGGAAACTCCCAGATGTCTCTAGCACCAAACTTAAACTTTGCGAGGCAGTTGCTGATTGATTGTTTAAGGAGAAATAAGATATGGATCATTATTCAGAACCAAAGAGTTCTCAGTGTTTCGTTTTGTTTTTACTACATCCGAGTCACTGTTGCAAGCCAGCCAGTTTTCTGGTAAAACCAAAAGGCTACTCTAGCTGTGAGATGAATGGGGAAATTTGTCCCGCCCTTCCTCAATCGCTAAGGTTTGACTTTCAAACCTAGAATAAAAATTATAGGTCAGCTGAGATCTAAGCTTCTTTTCTTCACCAGACTGGCATCTCAAAAGCTCTGTATCAAGTTGATTCACTGACCTAGCACTTGAATTGTTTCTAATCAGTTTGTTGTTGTTTTTTTTTTTTTCAATTTTTCAGGAGGTCATGTTACTCTAACATGCTGTACAAGACATCAACTGTACATATATAAGTTTTTATTTGTGAAGAAAGAATAAAACTGGAACATATGTTTAGTGATTACTCTCGAAATTTACCTTGGTAACTATGAGAACTCGCCAATTTTTACAAAGTAATGTATGCCACGGGACAAGCGTCGACCCTTGCCATACATTTCTTTCTAAAAATTGGCAAGTTTAGGGTCCCATCCCCTGACTTCCATTTTCTTTGCAACCGATGTTTGTGAAACTTTGCTTAGTTATTTAGGGTCCCACACTTCCATGTCTTTGCAATCGATCGTTGTGAGACTTATCTACCGACTTGGCACGACAAATTGATCTCTGGAAGTGTGTTTTTTTTTTTGTTGTTGTTGTTTATATGCAAGACACAACAAATTGTTGATATTGCGTGACATTGGTTAAAAGGACTATTTTAGGATCGTTAAAAATCTACCGTTGTCATGTGCATGGACCCTTTAAATAAATGGCGCTTTAATTTGAATAACAATACTTATACATCCTAAGCCTCACATTCATGTGAAAAAGACTTTGTCTGGAAACATGAATACGAGGCAAAGGATGTACAAAGTATTGTTTTTCAAATTTAGTCGCCATATATGCAAAGGGTCTCTGGTGTACAATACCAAGAATTAAGAGAGAACTACGCAATACATTTTACTTTATTAACCTTATATGTTACTTCAGCTAAACTTGCCACACTACTAATGATGCGGTCAAACTTTACTAACAACTATTTTCCTTATTTTAAAAGTGCAAATCATTGACCATTGTAATAAGAAATCAATAAGCTGGGATTTGGCTAATCTGACATGACGATTGTCATGGAAACAATCTTACAAGAAATGATTGCACTTTGCCTGTTTTTTCTGTGCTCCTTGTCAGTCTCCTAACATCTCGGGACCCGTCCACACTACGCTGGAGAAATTTGAAAAGAGAGTGTTCACTCCGAAAAAGGCTCAAATGTTTTCCGTCCCGACACTACGCCTGAGAAATTTAAATACGCAACAATCATGTACGGCAGAAAAGCTCAACTCGTCATCGTTCTTAAAAACCTCTGTTTTCAAAATGTTTCCCGTCACACTCAGGCCCCTCCCACATTACGCTGGAGGAATTTACAAATGCAATTATCACCGGTCATTTTGGATTGTTTTTGAGAAAA